TGTAATCTGAAATTGGATAAATGATTTCAGCCCACTAAAGAATCAGTAATTATCTATAGAAGTATATAAACATTTTAAAGCTAAACTTAAAAAAACAATAAATCTACCTCAATGAGTTAAACTCTCAGTGAATGACTATTTGGCAGAAATAGAGGGAGGGGAAGAATGGAAGCATGAAAAACAGGTATATTAGTAAGAACTCAAAATGATGATAAATGAGAAAGCTGACCAACTTATATATTTCAAAGTCATAAGAAAGTCATAAAATGGCAAGAACGCTAATGTTTCATTATTATTGTCGTTTTTTTGTATTGCTTAGGATGGAACCCAGGGCATTGTGCATGCAGGCTAAAGCTCTACCAGTGAACTACAGACCTAGCCCCAGTTCAAATAATTATTTTTTAAAACTCAAAACAGACTAATGTTCCATTACTTTTTACAACACTATGGCATGCAAAGAGGGTTGTTTTAAAAGTACACATTGTGGAATGTATTTCTAACATTAGTAGCAGATGAAATAAATTTTAATGTGAATGTACACATTTCATTAACTTTATCACATTTTTAACAACGTAATAACTTTTAAAAGTACTTAAAAACAAGGTAACAGTCCTCTATTTTATCCAAAATCTTCCTTAATTACACCTACTACATGAAATCAAATTTAGTTTTGTTTTTAGTATTAGCAACAAAATTAAGCTAAATTCAGCAATAAAATTTACAGGCAAATGAATCTGATTTAAATTATATAATTAACAATTATTATAATCTAAATTATATGCAAAGCAATGTGTTTAGTAAAAATTTAGAGTAAAACATAGAAGGAAGGTTCATATAATCAAAGATTTATCATTTTCTTGAGAGCACAGCATAAATGCATGAAAAATAAAGAATTCTAGCTCTGTGACAGGTAAAGTGCCACTTAAACTTCTTAACATATGCCTCAGTTTCCTCCCCTAGCAAGTGCAAGTCCTTGAATTCAAATCCCAGTACCTAAAAAAAAAAAAAAAAAACAGGCTAAACAAGAATATGAACACCTCAGTGATATTATATTGCAAGTCATCTTGATTATCTAAAAAATGGTTTTAGCTGGATAAAAATTTAATTGTACAATAGAATATAACTTGGAAAGGTATAAATTTTATATATCTGATTTTCTCAAATTATAGTTAGAAATTATCATTCCTATGCTACAATATTTCATGTTATAGCATGCAAAAGCACATTTTAAAGGAGAATTTAACATACATGTTAAATTGTTTAATTTTAAAAAATTTAAGTAAATCTGCAGTTCTTGAATGAGCTTCAAGGAGTCCACAATGTTTTACCAAATTTTCAAAGAGGGATTTTGGACAGCAAGGCAAATAACCAATGCCTTAAAGAAAAATGATTAGTTTTACCCATCCAGAAAAATAAATGGTTTCAACATTATGATTTGGCTTAATGTTGTTATAATTTAATTATTTAACTTGCTATTAATAAACAAATACATCTTGGGTATACCCAAGCTACCAGTGACTCACACTTATCTGGGAAGCACTGTGAACACAGGGGCAAGGTATACATTAAGATACTTTTTAACAAATTTCCTTGATTACAGGTAATTGACTCGGAAATTGGCAAGACACTAGGCTGTTCAGTCATATTCTTTCCTACAGAAATATGCTAATATACTACCTCAGGATAAAACTGACCAATTAATAAACAGAGTATAACTGAGGAAGAAACACAGATTCACAATTTAGAACTAAAGGATACCAAACAGATTCTTCATCATTTTTTCTATTCTCCCCAGTTGGAAACAATTGAAAGAGCTAATATCTCAAGATTGTGTGCCCTTAACAAGAATTAAATTCTCCTTAAGGGGCTAGGGATGTAGTTCAGTGGTAGAGCTCTTGCCTAACATGAGGTCCTGGGTTCAATTCTCAGCAGTGTAAAAAAGAAAAAAATTACATATGAACAGATGTTACACAAGTCAGTATCTTTATGTAAGCAAATTAACAGCTTCTGCTTAACTATTTTCAACAGTATTTCTACAGGGGGAAAATACCTTAAAACCACATTTTAAAGTCAATGAAAGAATGTTTTTGGAAAGACTTTCCCAAATCTGGTTGACTGCCAAATTCTTTGGCTAGGAACATTATTATTCTGCAACTAATTACATCCTTTCATAGTCCACAGACTTCATCGTGCAGCCATCAGATCCCTCCACTGAAGACTAAGAAACAGATGAGGCTTTTCTACCAAAGCCTCCATTTCCTCATTCTCTCCTTTACCTTACACCATCCCTTTCATCCTAATTGCACCTCCTCTTCTCTGCACTCTCCTCACAGGACTAGCTGCTTTCTTGCCCTATTCTATGGCTCATTTTCTGCAGGTTCAAAAATGAGTTAAAAGATTTTTGAAACTTTTGACATGACCTAGGAAAGAAATAAACTTTATAATTTAATAAATACACACACATGAAAGAAAAATTTCACTAAGCAATAGTTTATTACAGTCTGATATGTTCTATTTCAGTCTTTTAAAATAGTGACCAAAACCTACTAAACTCATTTCACAAATCAAACTATGACCTACAGTTTAAAATAATACAGTTGTCCCTTGGTATGCCACATGGGATTGGTTCTCATGACTCCCACTTAGGATACAAAGTGGCATAATATTTGCACAAAATCTACAGGCATGAGCCTGTACATCTTCCCCTATACTTTAAATCATCTTTAGATTACTTAAATACCTAATACAATGTAAATACTATGTAAACAGTTGTTAGACTGTATTGTTAAGGAATAATTATAAGAAAAAAATATTTGAGCATGTTCAATATAGATACAACTACCTTTTTAAAAATGTTCAGGGTTGGAGGTGCTCAAGTGGTAGAGCACCTCCTTATCAAGTGTGAGGCCCAAGTTCAAACCCCAGTATCACAAAATAAAATTAAATAAATAAATAAAACAGACAAAAGATTTAAACCAACCCTGGAACCAAAAACAACATACAGATGGCAAATAAATACATGAAAAGATGAACAACACCATTAGTGATTAGGGAACAGTAACTAAAAAGGCTAATTAAAATATAAAAGGTTAACTGCATTGAGTATTGATGAAGATATGGAGCAAGAAGAACTTTCACATACTTGCTCATGAGAATGAGCTATTTATTTACTCAAAAGTGGCTGGCAGAGGGGCTCAAGCAGTAAGAGCACCTGCCTAGCAAGCGTGAGGCCCTGAGTTCAAACTCCAGGGCAGCCAAAAAAAAAAAAAAAAGGTTAATTGCAAAATAATTGTGCTAAGCAGAAATCAGAAAAAAATGACTCATTTATCTAAGATTCAAATTAATGTTATAAAATACAAAGTAATCCAAGTGAAATAAAAGACCAGTAGTCTTCTATGTAATGAAGTTCTATCTTAAGAATTCTTTGGGCTAAAAAAAATTTGTTACAAAAAATTTTTTTTAAGTTTGAACAGAAGCCATCAAAAGATTTTAGTAAAAAATTAAGTAAGATTAGCATTTCTGAAGCATCTCTCTGGTAACAGTCCCAAAGACAGAATACAGAGGTATGAAACCAGCAGGAAATGAGAACATTTAGTTGCAATAATTGACACAAGAAATGATAAATCTAGCTGGTAGACTGGTTCAAATGGTAGAGTGCCTGCCTAGGAAGCATGAGGCCCTGAGGTCAAATCCTATTACTGCCAAAAAAGAAGAAATGATAAATCTGGATAGTGACAACAGAGATATTCAATCTATGCCAAGTAGTCTGCCAAGCTCTAGGCTTAGGATAAGAGCATAAATTCAAGAGTTACTGGAATTAAAAAAAAATCATGACTGATTAAAATGAGAAGGTAAAGAAAAAGGGATTAAACTTGGTGGGTGACTTGAAAAAACGCATAGACAGCTGTGGTATAAATTTAGAATACAACCATAATATATAACCTTCAATAAGATAAGCACCAATCAGGCCAAAAAATGTATGTTAAGGAGATGCAATCTAGAAGCAGCAAAGGATTATGGTTGTAAATATACTTCACTAGCAACAGTCCTAGAGGATATGCTAGATGTGTATACAAAATCAGAACCGTTCTTAAATGCCACTATAAATAACATAAAACCTTAACTATCAATATACTAAAATTTCTACCTGATGTTAAAGCTTGGCATAGTTCCTTTGGCAATTGTGGTTGAGATCTAAATTCCCAAATGATAGCATGGAATCAAGGCAGAGAAAAATGGAAAACAATGTTTGGGTCATCATATCTATACAATTGCTGGCTAGTATATGGCAATACATTTATGAATGGTTCCATTTCTCCAGGGCCAAATGTTAATGGATTATACAATTTCCCTCCTGGTCACTTTTTTTTGGAGACTGGATCTTACTATGTTGTCCAGGCTGACCTTAAACTCCTGGACTGAAATGATCCTTTTGTCTTAGCCTCCCAACTACCTGGAACTACAGATATGTACCAGGCATATTTAAAAATTTAAAAGGGACACAGAAGGGAAGAAGAACAGAATGGTAGGAAGCCTGCAAAACTCTGCAAAAAAACTGAATTCCATTTGTACTTGTATTGTGAGTCCTTACTTCAATTTCCTTGATAAAGATTGCAAATAATATTAAACACACAAAATAAACTCTTCAGTCACTCGATGATAAATGAGATCAAAACATTCTCATGATGAAAAGAGCATTTGATCTATATTAATGGGTAAGGATTCATAGTATTTACTATTTCCAAATAGCTGGCTATAAATTATAAAATTCCCTTGCAACATCAGAAAGAGCTGGTCACAACTTTAAATGTGTTGCCAAACCTTATCTGTTACAAAAGACATTCTAAGAGAGGAATTACATGAACTTGTAGCTACCTAGGAAAGAAATTGAAATTGGTATCTGACTACAACCATAAGAATAGCCTCAAAGTATCCTTATGTGGGGCATAATAAATCCTTGTGTTTACAGAAAGAAAAAAAATGGGGAATAGAAGTATTACCTGAGGGCAGGAAATTCAGACAAAAGGTCCCTATTCCAGGGTTGCCAGGGTTTCTTAGACTCTTCTGGTACTCATTTAGGTGGTTAAGCAATTCACAGCACACCAATCTCCACCATAACCAGCAGGGAACGCTGCAGGGAATGGGTACACAAGGGATGCAGAAGGGAGCAAGTGTAAGGGAAGGAAGAGGAAAGGAATGATATGATAAAAATATTTAGCTGTGGTGCACTTAAAAATATATTACACTGGATTAACGAAAGACAAACACTGCTTAAATTTTAGGATAAATCAACCATTTAGGATTTTCTTTATTCTCTCTATCATTGATACTATACTACTGCATTACTTTCATATCTTTTAAAAAGAATTTTCTATTAAAATGTTGACTGACAGAAATGAGATAGCTATATTATCTAAGTTATATAAAGGCTCAACTATATAACTTAACATTAAATGAAATCAGTCAAGACAAGTATTCTGCAAAACAAGCAACCTGCAAATTATCAAATTAGTTTAACTTCCAAAAGTCTCAATTAAAACTAAAATCTTTACTTCACAAAGAATATTGAGGGATAAAATTACTTATCAAAACTAATCCAAAAACCAAAAAATGATCCAGACTATATCTATATACTCAAAATGCATTAGAGAACTATAGTATTGTCCAGAAAATTTTTTCATTTAAATTCTCTGGATATGAGCCAACTTTTTAAATCTGCCAAAAACATTCAGGGCAACCAATTTATGACCTATGCAATCTATGAAAATCTAAGCAGTATGAAATTTCCCCAGTTAAATAAGTTTTTGAATAATTTCCACATACCGCAATTTCTGTGGTAGATACTAAAAAAACAATGACAGACAAGACAAGCACAGTCACTGCCCTTGTAACTTAAAGTGCATTAGGGTGATCCTGCCCTTTAATAAAGAAAAAAATAAAACCAGGATATACTTTAAAACCTAAAGAAGATCTTAAAAATGAATATAGCTTGTTAGAACTGCCCACTGGAAAAGGTGCTAGTAGAATAAAGCCTGACATGGCCTGTTATAGATATAGACAATCTGGTTGTAGGAATTAAGACAACAAAAGACAGGTGGAGAATAAAAAGAAGAAAAGCACAGTATTGGAAAATAAAATCCCAAGCATTGGATTACCTAAAAAGTTATATTTAACTTTTGTGGATAATTGCCTTAAATAATTAGTTTGTATGCATGCCCAAATTTAAAAACTGATTTAATAAGCATTTTATATTTTCAAGCTGTCACTTACATGCTTTTATTTCATTCTTTTCTTTTTTTTTTTTTGCAGTGCTGGGGTTGAACTCAGGGCCTACACCTACACCTTGAGCCACTCCACCAGCCCTTTTGTGATGGATTTTTTCAAGGTAGGGTCTCACGAACTGTTTGTCCAGGCTGGCTTCAAACCTCGATCCTCCTGATCTCTGCCTCCTGAGAAACTAGGATTATAGGCGTGAGCCACCAGCAGCCGGCTGATTTCATGATTTCTATACAAGCTAATCTAACACTTAAACTATCTTTGTCTACCAGTCCCTCCTGTTAAATTGTATGTACTTTGCTTTGACTCTCTCAGAAGACATATTCTACCATGAATTCTTTTTACTCACCTATCTACCAGACTATTTCCATAAAACATTCCAGCATTTCATTTACTTTTATCTCACATCTTATAGAACTTGCTAAGGCCAGATGTGGAGCATGCTTATAATCCCAGCACTTGGAGGAATCTCAAATTCAAGAGTTGGAGGTTACCCTGGGCAATACAGCTAGACTCTGTCTTAAATAAATAAATAAAAGAAACAAAACAAAACAAAAACCTGGCCAATCAATCAAAACCTGGGGTAACTGAATAATCATTATTTGTTAAATATCAGGTAAGGTTTACTTTTATGATTGCCCCATTTATAGTATTTCTCAGGTATATATAAAGTTGCATCACAGCAGAAGTAAATATTTGGGACAGAAACTCAATTTAGTATCTTGAAGTATTGTTTACCAAGTTTTTAAAAATCACAATTTTCTGGTATCACTAAATTTATTCCTAATTATATTAACTAACAGTAAATTACACATAAGTCATTTACAAACAGACTATAGTGGAAGCAAACAACACTTGATGCTATACTAGCAGTGGCAAAAAGAAACCAAAACTCCTTCTTCTTCTTCTTCTTCTTTTTTTCTTTTTGACAACACAAGTCCATCTCTGTTGAAAATTGTAGTAAAATACATGACTCTTAATATGATACATATGCTTTTAAGAATTTTAAATCTGAGGGTTGGTGGTATGGCTCAAGTGGTAAAGCACCTGAGTTCAAATCCCAGTACTGAAAAAAAAAAAAGAATTTCAAATCTGAGTTCATCTACTCTTCAGACTGCACGAAAGTTAAAATAATATGACTTTACACCTAACTGAACTGGCTGGCTCAGGATGGATGGTCCTTTCCTTGGTATTGAATTGTAAATTCAATGTACAGGAGAGGAAAGCCTTAACACTAAAAGACACAGATGACTTAAGGTTTAAATAAGTACCAGAAGAATACTGTGAAAACACATATTTTAAAATCATTAAAAAAGAAAGGAAGAAGGTGGGCACCACTGGCTTACGCCTGCGATCCTAGCTAGTCAGGAGACAGAGATCAGAGGATGGGGTTCAAAGCCAGCCAGGGCAAATAATTCATGAGGCCCTATCTCGAAAATACTCAACACAAAAAAGTGCTGAAGCTGTGGCTAAGTGGGAGAGCACCTGCCTAGTAAGTGTGAGTCCCTGAGTTCAAATCCCACTACCACCAAAAATAATAACAATAATAAAAAGGAAGAGAGGAAAAGAAAGAGAAAGCAAGAAACCGTTTCCTATTCAGTCACAACTCATGACTCCCCTAGGGGCCTCCCCTGCAAGTGCCATCATCACAGCAACCCTGTGCAAGCAAGAAACAACTGATGCCAGATTTGGCCCAGTCTACCTGCCACACAAGGGTCCACAGGCAGAGCATCCTGCTAAGGGAGACAAGTAGCACACCAACCTAGGAGCACACTACCTTCCTGAAGTGCATTGGGATTCCCTAGACAGAGTTATGGCTCCTCTAAAAGATCCCTTTAATAGTATTTTTAGGTAGAAAAAAAAGTATATACATATAAAAGTCAAACTAAGTCTTAAAAGAATAGGCTAATATAGATTCAAAATATATGTTAACAGCACTGGTGTGGACTTCCAAATTCTTTGTATCCCACCAGAAAGAATTCATGGCAGGACACATGGCATAAAAGGAGTTTATTAAAAGTTAGGGAAGAGAAATACAAAAGGAAGCATGGTGGGGCCAAGGCGGAAGCCGAAAGCCAAGAATAGCGTAGTTCTGCTCCTCAGGTGCTTTTAAAACCTATGATAACCTATGGGACGGAGATAACCAGGTGATTCTTATTCAATAATCAATGAGTGGGGAGAGGCATGGGTGGTTCCCGAGGCAAATCATGGTTAATCTAAGATACAGTAGTTTTTCTTTTTTTTTCTATTAGTTCCAAACTTTCCCTACTTTAGCCTGCCTCATGAATACACCATGTTCATCTTGGCTGGGAGGCATCTCAAAATAAGTATCAAATGCCTAAAAAACTCAAACAAATAACAATTATTATATCCTGAATCATACTGGCTTTAGTTCTCAATTTTGTTTTAATAACTTTGTGTGATATAACTTATTTTTCACTCATGAAAACAATCCAGGTCTTACAACTTACAAGCAAACTGAGCTCCCGTCACTGATACCCACTGTTAAGTACGAATGCGTGAGAAAATTAAATTACTCGTCATAAACCATATAATATGCAGAATTTTAAGCATAGATAATTGACAAGAAATCAACTTATTAAAGAAGTGTTTAAATTGGAAACTTCAGTAATAATGTACAGTATAATATTGCCAAAGAAAAATCATGTAAAAAGAATGGAGATCTGCGTACCAGTGGCTCACCACTATGATCAGAGCTACTTGGGAGGGAGAGATCAAAAGGATCTCGGTTCAAGGTCAGCCCTGGCAAATAGTTCATGAGATGCCCCCCCTCCCCCCCCACCCCTGCTCTGAAAAAAAGGGCTGGCAGAGTGGGTCTCATGTGAGACTGCCTGCCTAGCAAGCATGAGGGCCTGAGTTCAAATCCCAATACCACTGCCAAAAAAAAGGAATGGAGAAGTTATGTTCCCCAACACCTAAGTCAACACCATGTCCCCTAACTTCAAGGATTGCAGAATCTCAGGATTGTAATAAAACAGGCTCCTAAAGGGAACAGCAGGATGGTGAAACAACATAAAAGAATAATAAGGAGAAGTGCTGAAAATTCACTAAAAGAGAAACTGTTAGGTGGGGATAACAACCTGAACAAGCATGATGGAAAAATCAAGTGAAGGGCTGGAGGTGTGTATGGCTCTAGTGGTAGAGCACCTGCCTAGCCAGTTCAGGGCCCTGAGGTTCAAACCCCAGTACAGCAGGAAAAAAAGAAAATGATACTACATCAGTGACTTCTCCACTCAATACTACCTATCAGACCTTGAAAAAGTGATAAATCTTACTATTTTCTTTCCTTCACTGAACAGATCCCTTCAGTTTTTTGATTCTAGGATGATAGTATTACATCTACTAAACCAAGCATCCAACTCCCTTTTAAAACTTGAAGTTTTAAAATCAATCTCCTAAAAGTTAACATAAGAATCAATATCCAGTTCTAACTAGAAATTAATATGAGACACCAGCTGTATTTCAGATACTTCTATACAGTACTCCTAATAGCAAAGCACCTCCCAAAAATTCAACTAACAACTCACTTTGTAGTAATTATCTACTGTATAAACCAAAAGATAACCACAAAAAAAAAAAAAACCCACTTTCAATATTGTTGTCAAGTAAAACAAGTAAATTAGATTACAAATGAAAAGGGAGGGCATCTCCATTCAGATATCTAAAACTCATCCAAATTAACATAACCAAAACCAAACTCCTGATCTTCTCCCATAGGCCTGCTCCTCCTACAGTCTTCTCCAATTGCATTAAAGACAATTTCACCTTGTCAGCTGCATGTTAAAAACTTTGAAGACATCCATTACTGGTCCCTTTTCTCCCAATCCACATCTT